TTCTCGATATAGATTCTCTCCTAATGACCCCAGCGTGATTGAAGAAGCTTTTAGAAAATAGTATTACAGTTTTGGAGAGTGGAAATCTTTATACCTACTTCACATTTGTCATCTACTCATCCAGAGAATATTTTGTAAACATTTTTCTAGATCATCATCATCATCATCTAGAATTTTTTTATAGTAATTCAGGATCGCATAGATCTACAGTTGTATAGACCACTACTGATAACATATAGATAATTAACTTAACAGATATTCGACAAAGTAGGTCACCCTGTTGACTGAGCTATTCTCCCACATGTGTCAGGATATTTGAACATCCTGCTCAGTTGGTACCAATTAAAAGCGGCGAAGATCCAATATTTGTCATAGTTCTTCGAATTGGGGTTTGAAATTGATTTTGATAAATGCTTCTCCCGAATTTAGGCTGGATATAGGAAAGTGTCTGAGAAACTGAACAAGCATGTCCAAATATATTGATTTATAGGCCACAACCGGAAACTTAAAAAAACCGTTTTATCAAACAGATTGGATACTCCTTTTTTATCGTTTTATTATTGAGGTATTACGAAAACATAATATAATCATTATACGGGTCTATTTGAACTGTAGCCAGTTATTCAACTAGTCGGATATTGTCGATTATTTATTATCATTTAGGAAACTAATCTAAAAAAAATCAATTATCGATTTATGTGTTTCAGAATTACTATCACCAGTCTGAAAAAAGTTTTCTCCAAACAGCAATGAAAGTCTGAAAGTGACCAAAAATTAATTAACATGAACAATAATTATTACTATAATAATTAAAGGTGTAAAATGAATTCAAGATTTTGCATTCTGAGACAAGATTAAAAATAGTTTGTTAGTATTTTTTAGTAGTTTTTTTAGTTAGTTAGTTAGTATTTTTGTGTGGGAGAAATGTGTGTGTGTGAGAAATTAACATAACTCTGAAATTTTCGAAGTAATCCACTAAAAGGGATTTTTATGGAGGGTATCATGAAGTTATGTAAAACACATTATATTATTATTGTTGTTTTAGCAACATGAAAACTTCTTAGACTAACTGCATTTAAAACACCTCAGAAAAGTCTTGTTGTTAGGCTTCGACTGGTTTGTCCTACATAACATTATTACAGTTTTCAATTTTTAAACTGCGATATTTATCATATATAACGTTTCTGATTGAAAATTGTACTCTGAAGTGTTCTTTGAAGAGTGTGATTATCAATGCACTTAATTATAAATAGCTGCGATATTGTTATGATGTGATTCAAAGGGTCATGATCGCAAATCCTCTTTTGGTCTCAGTCATCTGATTTTTCAGAACATTTCTATTGAGTCAGGATGTTTCTTGAAGGAATTCATGCACATACACAATGTTTTTTTTACCAATGTGCTGTTTCGTACGTTTTGAAAAAGTTTCATTCATTTGTCTTATATAATAAACTGAAAATGTTTTCATAATATAGGTATAATCACTGAAAATGAGGTGGATTTGGTTTAGAAACTTAATGAGCTACAGCATTGTGAAATGATACACATACATGGTATATTTTTCAGTAATAATAGTTCCCTTCAAGTTGTAACGGAACCAAAAAACCAATTAAAAAGTGTCTGTAGAAAGAAACTACTCCCTGGACTATCACCCCGACGAACATTGACCTGGCGCTTCCTCCTGCGCCTTGCCAGATCAAATCACTTTCCGATTCCTCCTCGTATGCTGAAACCGATGTCGTATTTAAAATTCTGCCCGAAGAAGTAAAAAGTGAGCATTCTCTGTCGACTAGATCGACCGCCGGCATTTAAAAAATCTCATCTCCGAAGGTTAGCCGACCAAGTGCATCGAACAGAGCAGCAGTCTACAGTTTTCGCATGCACCCCGGGTGTTGCGCCCGCGCACAAGGTGAATGCGTCTGACCTGGCAGCAAGTTGAAGGGCGACGCTGGTTCAATAGGCGTAGATGACGAGCGGAGAGACAGTACTTCGTCAAAGGTGATTCGGTGTCAGAAATTCACGACTCATGAGTTTGATATGTGAAAACAGTAACAAAACTCATGGATCATTTATTATTTCCATACCCCAGTTGTAATGCTTCTTTCTCAAATTTACAAAAAATGTGAAGAAAATAGAATGAAAATCTTAAATTCTTGAACTCACCCACTAAAAGGGTTATTTAGGGAGTGTACTATCAAGTTATTGCTCGCAAACATTACAGTTAATGTGAAACATTCTTATTGATTGAAACGTAAATACTTGTTAGACCCACTGCATTTGATTGCAAAAAATTGAGGAACAAAGTCTTTGAAGTCAATTATGTGCCACATGTCTCATACATTCATCTCATAATTTGTATTTTCATATGTTATGATATTTTTGTTCTCGGGCATCGACTGGTTTGTCCTACATAACATCATGACAGTTTTCAGTTTACCAATGCCTAGTATAGTCTTATCGTGTTTGCGAGATTTTTGTGACGTGACTTATGTTCGCAAATCGTTTATCTGCCTAAGTTGTCTGGTTTTTCAGAATATTCCTATTAAGACGAGGTATTTCTCGAAGGAACTCTTGTACACATATACAGTGTACCTTTTTCTAATGGTGTTCAATATCCATGAACATGAAAGGTAATTCAAGAATTGCTTCAAAAACGTTGATTTGTGAAATCACACTTAGGAGTTACACAAGGTTCCGTTTTTGATCCTGTGTCATTCTTGTTTTATGTTAATAGTATTGATGAACTGTGTGACAACATTCATTAACAATTTATGTAGATGATATTTCTACCCTCATATCAGATCATTCGCTTTTACTGGTTAAAAGAAGTTCTAATAAATCATTGTGACAATTGGTTCCAGCAGCATATCAAAATTTGTATATGTTGACAAGATGCAGTATTCTCTAGTACATAATGGACACAAAAGGCCATAAACTTATTCTGGTCTACGAAACCGAATATGTGAAACATGTTCCTTGAATCGCGTTTCAATAGTTCACTGAGTTTGACCAACATACGTTTTGTGTCGCAGTTTTCACTGTACTCAAAATTTTCGTTTCCTTGTCAACATATCAACTATGTTTGAAGAATGCCCGTTACTCTCAGCTATGTCTTCATTAACTCTTCTCTCGATATCAAACCTTTTTTGCTCAGGGGGAACGTGGCCAGCCTATGGACAAGAAAATTTGATCCTGCCATTTTTTGTTATGGACTATGGTATCAAAAACATCTGAAAGTGCTAGAATTGTAGATACACAAGACAGTACTTGAACCTAATACAGTTATTTTGAACACATCTTGTACAAATCCTGTGAGTTTTCTCAGGTTCAAGAATAAGTATAAATCCTCTGTCTGGAAATATTAAATGGTTTCTGTAGGCAATCTGAAAAATGTACTTTATTTTACATAAAATACAAAATTTACCTCCATCTTCCTCAACTGGGAGGTTTATCAGAATACTATTGTATTTATTACGTTCACATTTCTTTTTAAATTTATTTTTACAAAATTGATTGACTTGTATCAATAAGCGGTCAAAAACCATCAACCTCCCTCATCTGCCTTTCTACCTGCCCATGCCACTGCCCCAATGGTCTGCTCGGTTGTTGATTCTCAGACGTGCCGATACCTCGATCATATTAATTATAGACCCGACTGGACCGCAGAGGATTTTATCTCTCTTTTAGTTAACGAGACCGCTAGCCGAGAAAAAATCAACATTTTATTGCATTTCGAGTCGATCGCCGGTGTCTAAACCCGAATTCTCAGAAAAGTGACGCACGGTGTGCCTCGAGGTACTACGACGGGGCAGAAAAGGTCCGGCGTTGGCGTTGGAATCCGCAGTTTGTGCCTCTTCAATTGATTACTTTTGCTTTGTCCTCTACCAATCGCTGTAACTGTTCTGTTAGTTCGTATTTTCCTAATGTTACTTTTCAAACACAAGTTGTGCATCTAGTCTAAAAAGAGTTTGGCCAGGGATTCCATTCCTGTAATATTCCAGGCCCACATGATACTTGAGATTCTGGTTTATTATCTGTTAGAATTTTTCTAATATTTTCTTCATTGGCTTTAACTCTGACCTTCCTTTCACTATTATCATCAAAACTGCATGAGACGTAGAAAAATACATTATTTTGAAGTCCTATTTAGTCCTGTTTTCTGTAATGCAATGTTCTTTTCTACCATTTGTGTATATGCTTGGATATTTTCTTTCATTTCTTCACCTTGGTCCTTTGTTCCCCTGAATTCAAGCTTATATTTGAAGACTTTCCTCATTCACTTCTGTGCAATAGTTTATTTTGTTTCCTTCATATCTTCCAAAATTTATTCAAAAATATGGAGTCGCTCTTATCAGATGTTCCGCTTCAATTCCGTTCAGGACTTCTTAATTTCCGGTAGTTCTTTTTTACTTATGTTCATTGAAATCCACTTCTTCACTCTTGTGTGGTAATTTTCTGCTCGACTCTTCTATCACTATTTTTTTCCAACTTCAGTTTCATTTGGTCCTCGTCAATACTATTTCTTTTCTCAAATTCTATATTAGCTTGGATCAAATCAGTATTGAATCTTCCGTAGCACCTTGCCATAATGATGAAGGTCCTGAATTCCTGTATTGGACTCGGAATTAGATAAATGTCAATTTGTTTGGTGAAAGGTTCTTCCTTGTCCCCTCATGACATAAGTGTGAGATGAAATAACAACTACATATTGATAAATAATCTTTTTCAATAAGTTGTCGTCACTTTGATATGATACGATGAACATGCAGTGCCTTAAAGTTAACATTTTAAAAGTATGATCACTTTTTTATGTTTTTATAAGCAATCTTTCATGAAAATAGGTCCACATCTATTTCTAAACCATTTCCTGACTAACAAAAAGTGTATGAAATGTCTTTCTTTATGTAATATGTGGAGGTAGATCTGCAAACTAGACATTAACAAGAAATTTTGCATATTTTCAATTAGGCCGCACTGACGTATTGTTTTCTTTGTTCTAGGTTGCAAGATAAAAGCACTCCGTGCCAAGACCAACACTTACATCAAAACGCCAGTGCGCGGTGAAGAACCAGTCTTCGTGGTCACCGGCCGCAAAGAAGATGTCGCCAAAGCTAAGCGGGAAATTCTCTCAGCCGCCGAACACTTCTCCCAAATCCGGGCTTCGCGTAAGAACAACCTGGCAGGCTTAGGCTCGGGCACCAGCACACCTCCTGGCCCCCCAGCTAATATTCCAGGCCATGTTACCATCCAAGTTCGAGTGCCATACCGCGTTGTCGGTCTGGTAGTGGGCCCCAAAGGCGCCACCATCAAGCGCATCCAGCACACCACCCACACCTATATTGTCACCCCCAGCCGCGACAAGGAACCAGTATTCGAGGTCACCGGTTTGCCCGAGAGTGTGGAAACTGCGCGAAGAGAAATCGAGGCACACATCGCCATGCGCACAGGCAATGGAACATCCATCAATGGTCTCCCCGGTCTTGGGGGGCTAGACGAAAATGAATTGTTCGCTTCGCTGTACAAATCGGGTTTGAGCTCCATTCTGAACTATATCGAGCCAGCCAGCGATCCCTTTCCGATCACCTCTTCTACAGGAAGCAGCGGGGCCTTCAGCAGCTCGGGGTCCAGCTCTAGCTCCAGCAGTTCGTCCAGTAGCGGAGGAAGGGACTTGGGAGCCATCTGGAGCTCGAACGATAGAGACGAGGGTCTTGGCGACTCGCCAAGCTTCGACACCTCCACTGCCCTCTCCAGCATCTGGTCGTATCCAACCATGTCTGCCCCATCGAGACCATCCCCCGCCAACAGCACTAGCCCGGTGGACTCGCTACTGAGCTCGACCACCAAGTGCTTGGTCTGCACCGACGCCAAGGTAACGCACGCTCTGGTGCCTTGCGGCCACAACTTCTTCTGCGTAGACTGCGCGACCAGGGTATGCGAAGGTAGCGATGCGCAGTGTCCCGTCTGCACTATGCCCGCTATCCAGGCTATCCGCATCTACTCGCCCAACCCTTAAGTTTCTTTCGACGAAGGTCGATCTCGCTCGAATTCTATACCGCATTCCCGGGCACACGCCCCGTGTTCAGTTTCAGGTCAGGTTATGCTCTCAGCTTCATTTCCGGACACATACAACGAAAATTGAATTGAATTTGCCTGGTTTTTGAATTTTTGGTTTGGACTTGGTGGGGTTGACTGATCGCATTGGGGATTTCAGATTGAACAAAGCGTCTGAATAAGTTTCGAGAAGGTTTATTTCATTGCTTGCTGTTGTTTCCTCCCACTCTGAGTAGCTGATAGAATTAGTTCCTTCAAAACTGCACCTGGAGGTGATTCAGTTACTGAAGGACTTTCATTTAAATTAGGATACACAACTAATTATTGCTAAAATTTTCAGATAAACCATAAAGACTTGCTTGCGCAAAATCTCACTATGAGTGTGAAAGGGGTTACTGTATGCTTGCCCTTTTCTCTCAGAGTGCTTTTCTAATAAACTTGGTCTACTTTCGAATAGTAGCAAAATATCCACATAAACCAGAAATACTTGCTGGTGCAGAATCTCAGAGCTAGGATTAAAAGTAGTAATATTCTTATTGAGATGATTCTAGAACTTCGATGGCGATCTATCCGCCCCAACAAAGTCGTGTCCTATTTTAGTTTTTTTGAATTTGGTTTTGCTATCGGTGTGAAGCAGAGAGCACGATCTACTTGAAGCGTAGTCATCATTATGCCAGTTCAATTTTCTTTATATATCACGTTTTTATAGTATTAGAGTCATTGGTTTATTTTGTATTTTTACATCTAGCGTGGTACCCATTACATAAAAGACATGACGCGACACTATTTCGTAATAATAATGTAAATTTTTATACTGTCGATAAGTGTTTCGTTATTTTTTTAAATATATTTTTTTAAGTTTCGCCATGTGAAGAGTCACATTATTGAAGTCTGAAACAGCAATTCTCAAAATATTATTTAAGTAATATAATAATTGAAAAAATTTAAAAATAATATATGAACGAAAAATATAGCAAAAACACAAAAAAATATATATTGATAACTGAAGTGAGAATTAGATTGATAGTTGAAAGAAAAGGGTTGATTGGTTGTGCGGTGAGAGCAGTGCAGAAAAGCAAAAGGCTACGGGGTAGTCACAAAATAACTCAACATGAAGTGGCAAACCAACAGTTATCGCGACGCCATTTTAAAAAACAGGATCAGCATTTGGTTTTGAAAAGTGACAGAATATTAAAATGGCATTTTTGAAAATATTATATGAAAAATTTAATAACATCGGCGACAGAAATATTTCAATCAGAACTGAAAAATATTACTGAAACAAACTATTTGAGTGTACTGACCAGATCAGTTTTGAATAGTATTAATGCTTACAGTATTAGATCCTACATACTGCGCTAAAATACATCTATTGAAAAAAATCAATGACTATTGATATTTGAGTCACTAAACTCAATATTGTCAGACGTGATTTCGTGATTCGACTACGATTTCTACCTGCCACTGTCATCAGGATTCCTTGTGATTCTCACATTCTTTGACTAACCGTTTTTCTGAAATGGCGTCTTGGTAAATGTTCAGGATGGCGTATGCAGGGTTGAGACTCCCTTGTAGCCCCCAACACTATGTCGGGCAGGTTTTGGGGGTCTATCGGCTGTGATCTATGCCAAGCTACCAGTGGCGGCGCGGACCCGTGGGCGTGCCCCCCCTAATAACGAAATACATATCCCTTATTGTTAGTTGATCACTCATTGTTGCAATTGTTCTGTTATGTCATATAACGTGACACATATAATTCTATATTTCTTATAGCATATAAGTTGTGAGAGATTTTATGATATAAATATAAATTATTTATCGTGGCGCCTAACGTCCGTGCCGCCCAGATAGTCCCTTTCACTAAACTTTTAGAATGATCGATTAAATCGAGAAGGCGAGGAATCGGGATACGTTACTAGCTTATTTTTATACAAACACGTGGTTACTTTGATTGAAAACTATGACTGGTTCATATTGAATGCAAAATTCCACTCTCAAAAGTACGCACGTAATAATTTCTGTCAAGGCTCGATTGGAATCTCGTTTTTTTGGCGCCGATTTTGTTCATATTGAATAGAATATTGAAAAGTCACCAAAAAGGCGCGAAGATTATTCATATTGAATAGAAAAATGTATTCTCACTCATCCCATTATTANAATCACAATATTTCATTCAATTACATAAAGAAAATAATATAATTTTTTTTATCATTATCATAGTTGAAAAATTGAATGATCTGGAAAAATTTGTGTACTTCAATAGAAATACTAATTGTTTTTTATGAGGGTCCAAATAGCTCTACCAAATGTTTATCATTAGTGATGCCATATGGGATAACCAATTCAAATTTTTACTTCTTTTTTGCTTGGAGTAAAGTGTTAGGGGTGCCTCCCTTCCCGAAATGTTAAAAGTGCTAATAAATAAAGTGCAAAGCGACCGTCAGGTTGAAATTAGGTTAAATACTGCATTTTGTAACTTCAGCATTTCTTGTGGCTTTCGGTTGTCTCGCTGCACATCAAAGATATTACTTTCGATAAGTTCAATAGACAGATATCCCGCTTCTTCAGTAACGTGTCTCGATTTTTCGCTAAATCTCGTTTTCCAAATTTAAGTCTCGACCCACTCCTGCCCCATGTGCTTCGAACCTTCAGTATTCACGTCATCCCCTCCTCAAAGCGGGCTACCGCTCTTGGTAATTTTTTTATGCATTTCTCCCTGCCTGCACTTTTTGTAGACAATTCAGCTATTCGACTGGCCCAGATTGGCAACCATGCGCTTATATTACTTATTAATATATATTATAATAAATTTCAATAATTTATGTTTTTTGTTTTTTATTTTTCTTTTGTGAGACCACCGCTTGGTTGTGTTCCCGCATGTTGTAGATGTGTTGAGTTTTGTTGTTTGGTGTTCAACATTCCTGCATGTTACTGAGTACTGTAGTGTCTCCACTCACAAGGCACAATTTCTAATAACATTTATAGGAGTAAAAAAGAAGATCGCATTTTATATTTTAATAATCCCATATGAAGATATTTTAGTACGCGTATAAATTAGATGTAGCAACTTTAAATGACATTTTCAGTAAGTTACTTCAAGAAAATAGGAATTGAATTAGCAAAAAGGAGAAAATCCTGCAAATCTGTTCAGGTTCCCAGGCTTTATCATTTGTCTAGTTACTAGACTCTAGAAAGACACAAAAAACACTACAAAGCTTAGCAGTACCATAGTTTGACTACCCAATGTCTCAGTCCCGATCTCAGCAGAATATCCATTTATTTTGAATGCATTCCCTCACAAACAATCTTACAGGTCAGTTCTATCCTAAGAAATTTCTAAAGTTAAAAATAAGTTCAAATAAATCGGAATAGTTTCAGGTATGGAAAAGTATATGATATGATAAACCCTAAAATTCTAGTGATATACAAATCAGGAGGAAGAGATCACTCATAAAAATTATTTCGAAAATACAAAATCGAAACCAGAAAGTAGTAATCAATAATTGTGAAAGCAAAGCATTAGTTTCCATTGTTGGTGTTTCACAAGGTTAAATTTTTTTCTCAATTTTCTATTTATTCTATGTTGCAATATTGAAAATAAAGGTTTGATCATACCAATTTTCTGAAATATTCCTTCCTTCAACAAACAAATTTTTGAACTTTTTTCAACAGATGTTTTACATGAGTTTGAAATAAAATAGTAAACATTATTATTGACAAAAATTAAGTGTCTGAACGGGGTGACAAGTTCTAGAAAAATTCACAAATCAAACAAAATTAGTCTAATTCAGAAATTAATATGCCAAAAAGTATCCCTTTTCAAATAAAAATCGACCTATTTCTTGGTTTCTTTATATCATTTTTCACTCCAGTCCTAAACGCGATTGCAAGTTTTCAAATTATCACATGGTGGAGTTATTTGAGAAATTAACGCTTCTCAATACCTCCGTGCATTAGATATACGGTCATTGGGAATATATTGAAACAACAAAATCACAATATTTCATTCAATTACATAAAGAAAATAATATAATTTTTTTTATCATTATCATAGTTGAAAAATTGAATGATCTGGAAAAATTTGTGTACTTCAATAGAAATACTAATTGTTTTTTATGAGGGTCCAAATAGCTCTACCAAATGTTTATCATTAGTGATGCCATGTGGGATAACCAATTCAAATTTTAACTTCTTTTTTGCTTGGAGTAAAGTGTTAGGGGTGCCTCCCTTCCCGAAATGTTAAAAGTGCTAATAATATATCCTAGCTGCCTGATAGAAAATTTGAACCATATTTATTTGTGTCGTTCTTGGCATAATCATTCTTCGAGTAGATAATATGAAAAATGGAAACTAATCCAGATATACAGAAAAATGTTTTTATCCTCTACCCAAGAAACAAGACGATGAACATTAGGAAAAGTTGAAGTTGTAAAGTGGAAATTCACTGAAACTGACCCTATTAATCAAAAAGTTAAATCCATGTATTTGTGTAAGCATTTTTTCAAAATTTGAAGAACGGGGACATGGAGTTTTGAGTCGACAAACTGTATCCTATTGCTCCAGATATTTTCAATAGTGTTTTTGTTTCTTCTAGAGTGCTTTTAGTAACTACTTCCTATTTTCTTGAACTGTATAAGTGTAATAATAATAATATAATATGCTCAATAAGGTTGAACGCTAGAGGAGAGTAAGTATTTTCGGGTCACAGAACGGCGAATATAGATGGATTGATAAAGTTTAGGTAGGAAATTTACAGATAGGAAAAGTTTAGCAACGCCGTTTTGATATTGGGCACGACTTTTAGAAGGTGCTGCAGCAACCGATGGTTTTATTAAAAGTCTTCCCGCCCGAAATCATTTTATAACCGTTTGGAAATCATGTTCATTTTCATTACGATAGTATTCTGGTTTTGGATAAAAGTGAAGGAAATGTTGCATATCAGAACCTCGATTTTTTTCGGACACCTTCAAATTCACTTACAAAAGAATTGATCCCGTGGATCCCATCTACTTTCAGGCAGAAGCACCCTATTATATACATTTTTTCTCAGTTTGAAGGAATTCATCACTGTTAGTTTGTAGATTATCATAAATACGGCGTGCTTCCAAAAAGGAACAAAGATCTCAAAAGTTATATTATAATTTAAAATTGAGTGACAACATGGAAAAACTGGAAAATGTTCAGTATTTATTGAGTTGCTGACATGAAAAAAAAAACAATTTTGAATTGTTTCTCTACGAAATCAGTATTATGCCACACGAGCTCATGGTCGATAAATCTGATACAGTCCGTTATATGAAATAATTCAAGGTAGCTATGAGATAAAATGAAGTATCCGAATATTATGACAAAGGAATTAACAGACGGGGTGATGGAATCTGCGATCTATGTTCTGGTGTAGTTATGATATAATGAAAATTATCAAATATGACACCGATTTTTTATGTGAAATGAAATTATGAAAATGAGTGATTCGTAAAGATATGATTTTGTGTGGTGTAGTGAATTTCTAGAGGCCGATTTTAAGTTAAGTAAGTATAACTATAAGCAAATAAACAACAGTAAAGTACACTTTTCTTGTGACAATGACGTGTCAGATCCAGTTGCATAAAATTCAAGGGATATCGATTTTCACTTAGTGTATAGTGATGCCAGTCATTGCAAGTTGAGAGTGATTAATAAATGCAATATATTTTCAACAACACGGTTATGGAGATGAATGTAATAAAAGACGGAAACAAACTGAAATACGAATACCTTATAAAAAATAAGGGTGAAATACCCCGAAGTTGCATTGCATTTCGCACTCGTTTACTTTTACTTCAAAAAAATCATCATAAAACATTAATTGATACTTTTGCGAGGTGTGTGATACAAAAAACACTTTGGTCCAAGTTAGAAAAAGGAAAATAGTTGAGGTTTCTTCTGTTTATGTGGCACAGTACTCAGCACCAAATTTTATTGAAAAAATAACATACTACTAGAAACATTCAAAATAGTTAGCTTCTTGAGAGACTTCTATTATAATAATATTGAAAAAAACATGTTTTTCACTCTAATGTTGATGAATTCTTTCTACAACTGCGGGCTCAGTGTTTTGCTAGTGGAAAACAACTGAATGGGGTACTTTTGTCCATGAAAGTGTTAACAGAACCGCGATCAATATCTGTGGGCAATTTTTTCCAGATACCCCTCTCCACACCAGTATCTGCCACTTAAATACGTATTTATCCGCATTTTCATCATGAGAAGCTGCTTCGCGGGCCTGACTGCGACATAAACTTGCAAATCACACTGTATATTAACATATTTTTAACACTTAGTATACAGGCCTAACTACAATATTTAAGTAATAATATCTATATTTCATATTTATTATATATGAAGGTTTTTTGAATAGATTAAGAGAAGTACATATAGATGTTTTTAGAACAAAACAGTATTTATATAAGTGAAGAAAAATATTTATATAATTAAGGTATATCTTTTTGTAGCCTCCTGTAAAAGACGTAAGCTTAGGGTCGCAGGTTCGAGCTGATACGAAATTTAATAGGGTTGTTGGAAACTATCTTCAAGACTAATTTTGTAACAAAGTGGAACCGAAAAATTCTACAGCGTGTTAAGGATATCATCCTCCCGCAAGATTTCTTACAACAATTTAGTGTTGTCAAGTTTTTGACCAAACATTCACTGTTTCTATCTTTTTTCATTACTGTACACAAAAGTTGAAAGTGGATAACAATATTCATGTGCAGTGAATATAGGATGAAGAAAATAACTTTTGTCTAATTTTTTCAAAGTTTTTTGTTTGTTTTAACAAACTGAAATCAGAAAAACGTTATTTTCTTTATCCTATATTCAATATGAATTTCTACAAAATAAATAGGTCATCAAACGAACAAGTAACTGTTGAAACGATAATAGAAAATTGTTCTCTCTCAACTTGCGTTGAGTTGAATATAAAAGTTTATCAAAAAAACTTGTTTTTCGAGTATTCACTGATATGCCAGATGTAAAGGTTAGTCCAGTTGCGCCGCAAATTTCTAGGTCTTTCGTATACGAAGAAAAACTGAGGAGTTTAGAATACAAATAGTCAAAAGTTGGGAAAACTAACCTCAAAACTCATTTTGAACCAATCTTGGTGATCTCGAAACC